ATCCTCTGCGACTTCACCGACTGTGACAGTTAAGGAAAGTGAGCCTCTGCAACTTCTGCAGCTGTCACAGATAGGGGGCTTGAGCCCCTGCATCTTCTGCGCCTGTCACAGTTCCGGAGCCTAGAAGCTGCCACTGCCCAGCCCCTCATGGAGCAAGTGTAGTTGGTAGGGGGGGGGGGTGGCTAGTAGTAGTAGTAGTAGGAGTAGTGCTAGTAGTACTAGTACGTACTCCTACTACTAGTAGTAGCAGCACTAGCAGTCGTCGTCACAGTCTTTGGAAGCTCGGACATTTTGTGCACCACCAGCTGGGCAGTTCAGGATTCGAGTGACGGTGGTGTCGGCTTTCAGCCTAAACCCACAATCCCTACGGACTCAGAGAGAGACCCTGAAATATTGCCAGGGGGCCCCAGTGGTCACGATCGGGGCCACGCCGTTCGTTGGCGCTAGATAGCGAGAGCCTGAATGGATTGAAAGTTTCGGGTCGAAGAGTTTCGGGCGCATTGAAGGCTGAAGGTGCGGCTTGGGGGTCAGGGGCCCCAAATCTCCTAGCTCGGAAGCCTGCAACGACAGCTACAGTACCTAAACCAAACCCCTGCAAACCTTCCAACTCAAGGCCGAACGCAATGCTCTGAACCTAGACTCTAGCCAATTCGAAACCGTCGTAGCCTTCTCGGGCACGTGGCAGCTCGAACTCTTACGGCTGCAGTGGTTTAAAGAAACACTAGCTCCTACAACTGAGGCTTCAGGGCTTAAGTAGGCTTGGGAATTTGGGGGTCAGGGTTCAAGCCGCCATCCCTAAAGTATGTTGGCAAACTCTAAACCCGTTTGGTTGCTAACCTCTATGGCTCGATCCTCCAGCGAGAAGTTCATTGGGATTCCTGTCGCAGTTTAAAGTTGATGAAGCGCTTCTTCACCCGAGCCATCAAGCGCTTACAGCCTCGGCGAACCTGAAACAAAAACGTCCAGGCCACATGCGTCGTCCAAAATATGAAAACCTACTACAATCTCGTAAGCCCTGCGCCCATCAGCGGGGCTGCCGGCATCGGTGGTTGGGGTGCAGCCACAGGCTTCACCTTTGGATTTAGAGTGAAGCAACATCAGAGCATCCACTTCAAGCGATTAAGGGCTTTGCAGGGCTGCGTGGTAGAGTTTCTTGCGCTGCCCAAGCCCCACCATAACCAGCTGCGCGAAGATGCAACAACCCTCCACCTCAAAGCCGAACCTTACGGCAGTGTCAGTGAACCCTACATCGCCGTGGGTTCGGAGCTCAAGGGTCAGTGTTCCAGCAAGGATGCTTCAATTCCATAGCAAAGTCTAAACCCTAAACCTCAAAGCACGCTACTCGCTACCATAAGGCTGCAACGGAAGGTATGCAGGAACTTCTTGAGGGCTTCTCCAGTGCAAAGTCCCGAAGATCATAATAACGTTGCGGGAGAATCAGGAGTGCAAGCTTCTCCCGTCCGGCCCACTCGACAACTTAGCCTAGACTCTGATCCCCTCAGATTGAACCCAAAGGCCTAACTCCCAAACACAAGCCACAAAACTCCAAACCCCATGCTTTTTAAACCCTGTCTCCATCGCTTAGACCCTCAAACCGAATCCCCAAACCCTAAAGAGCCTCTAGCCGTTGGCCTTAAAAGAATTCCTTCACACCAATGTTGGGCCATCCAATTCGCCTCGGCCCCGCCAGTTTTCCCTGCCCAGTGTTCCCTGCCCCCCATCCCCGTCCCACCCCTTCCGTCCCCCCTCCTGCTGCCTCCGCTCCGCCAGCATTAGACAGTTTGTCGGCCCTGTTTGTTACGGTCGAGGCGAGGCGGACGACGCGAAGCGTTTACAATTGGCACATAGGATTTCGGGGTAAAGTCTCCCATAAGTGCCTCAAAGCCCGTTTAGTAACCTCCGAAACAAAGCAGCCCCTGCAGTAACCGTACCTGCCTCCGTGGGCATGGGCAGTGGTATGGGCCGGTTCTCTTGCGCTTGCTCTGGCCTCGGCTTCTTGAATTTCCGGGCTCAGGGTTCTTTGCCTTGCATGTTGCGGATGTCGCTGTCCTGTTTTTGTTCTTTGTGTTGGGGAGGTGGATTCTTTTGTGCCGCTTATTATCGGATTCTGCAAAGCTTTTCTAGGATCTTGTCAAGTTCTATGAATGGTCTAGCCTTTGCTTCAAGTCCGGCATTGCATCACTTGGATCCGCAGCTTGTTTTTGATGAGCTTTCAACGGTTTAAGGTTCGAGGCACAGGCCCTGAAAGACGAGACATTGATATAACACCCAATGAATCGGAAGTGCCCGCAGCGTTGCAGGGTGCAGGCTGAAAGCTCTGGAATGCAAGTGAATGAGACATGATGTTTCTTTTCCGGATATTAGTCCAGGCTTCTCCATCAATTTGTCTACACAGGACTATGACCCGCGAAGGGCAACCATGCCTTCTCAAGTGGGAGTGTTGAGAATATTTCCTTCGAAGCTGCATCACAAAGTCTCCAAACCATGGCTCCATAAACAAAGAACAAAGTCCAAGGTTACATGCCGGGAGACTTGGCTGCAGTCTGCTGCGGCACTGCTTTGCGCGGAGACGCCTGCAGCCGCGGTTCCAGTTGGAGCTTGAGACACCATGTAAAGTGTGTGGCTCGCGGTGTGAGAAACGCTGCTGCCTCCAACATACACTCAACAACAGCAGCCTGCGGCTTGGAGAGGAGGAGTGTGGGCAGACTCCTTTGCCAGAAAAGACAGAGCTCAATATAGGCTTGAGGGTGTTATGTTCATGTGGGACCTCAAGGACGCAAGGAAGCGGAAGTCACAGTCGGAAGCAAATCTCTGGGTTCTGAATAGAGAGTGGGAACAGAACCCTGACCCTCTGAACGAACACCTTTATGGCATCACGAGCTTACTGGTGCGTGTCAAGCCAGCCCGCGGAGAGTTTCAGATTCCGGGGCGTGTCAGCTGTGAGGTCCTGTGATCCTCCCGTTTGAGGTGACGGATGCTGTCACATCTGGGAACATTCTCCACCTGGGTGTGCCTCATGTCGGCCTCTCACCAAAACTACTCTGCTGCGATACGATTCTCTTGTCTACGAGTTCGGCTTGAGCCTGGCACACCGGAGCTAGGGTTACACCTCTGACGTTTCCTAAGCCCGGTGCTCGATCACCTCGGCCCTGGATGCCCTGTGTTCGTCCTTCCTACATTTATGACAGTATTAAAGGTTACTATAATTGTTCCAGCAAGGGTTGGTTGTTAAAAGGGTTACACTCTATCAGCAATGTTGGCGAGTGTTGCAGGCTCATGGGAGTTTTCCAACATGAAAATGTGACTCCATACTGCGGACCAAAGACACTTACTGCAAGAATCGATCTGAATCCCCTCAGCCCTAAAACCAAAAAGCCAAACCCACATAAGCCAGCCGAGCAGACGCGTTCTTCTCGCGATCCATAGGGCTGCCTCTTGGCGTAGGGATGCGGAGCGTCAGCTCCGGTTCAGGACTATTGCAAGGGTTACCACACGGGTTGCTAAAGGTAAGGGTTTCGCTAGGAATTGCAGCAAGGGATCAACTGAGGAGCCAAAAGACAGGGTCGTGGACAGGGCTGAAGTTTGAAGCGACATCGCTGAGCTTTAAGGCTTTGGTTTTAGGACACGAGATTTCCTCGACACGAAGCCTTGTTGAACAAAACGCCTATGGCAGAACGGAGCTCCTAGCTGCAAAACGTTGCTTTCTGGAGTAGGCCTCTGCAAAGCCTATGCAATGATGCTCGTATCAAGGAAGAGACTAGAACCGGCTACAAGGATCCAGGCTCAAAGGCCCCAAGTTTTGAGAGACACCCTTAACCCCACATCCAAAAACTACACCCTAAACCCTCAATCCCAAGCCCTAAGCAGTCCAAGCTACCGGGGCTCGTGGCCGACTTGCTCAGCCGGCGCCTCTGCAAGTCGTCGTTCTGGACCACCTGGTAGGTTTCGGGTTTAGAGATTTAGGGCTGAGGTTGTAGGGGTTTAGGGTTGAGGGCTTAGGGTTAGGGTGAGCAAAACCTGCACCCTGCAAACCCGGAACTCCCGGACGAAGGCGATTCGCACCTTAACTTCCTGAGGCGAAAAAGTCAACCCTGAACCCGCAGCTTCAAACCGGAACTTCCACGAACGCCCTAAACCCCAAACCCCGAAATGAAGAACAGAACCACGTGAACCCCCCAATTACATTAAGAAACGAAGTGTCCCGTGCCCTCGAACCATGGCGTTGAGGTAAGGGCATGAAGAGTATTTGAGGTACTACGGGTTTAAGCCATTTGCTCTTCTAGGTTCGGTTTCTTCAGGGCTCTGTTCTGTGCATGTAGATTCTTTTTGACTTTAGGGTTTACGGGTTTAGTGTGCTAAGGGTGTAGCGTGCGAAACATATCTCAGGTATACATAGAGCATTCAGGGTACTTAGGCTTCAGCAGAACTTCGTGTGCCTAACGCTAAATGCCTGAAGCCCCAAGGCCTCAGCACAAGTAGGTAGAAATATCGAAAAATCGGCCTATGCAATTGCTTTGAGCACCTATCGCATTGGATAGATCCGAGCAGCCGACCACGAGTCGCCCCAAACCCTCCGACCCCCAACGCTTCAAGGTCTGGGTATCCTAAATGCCCCAAATATTTAAACTCGATTTTAACTCGGGAGCCCAAAAACTTCTGATGGATCCGGCTAGTTTTTTCAGTCTGGCACGTAGGGTAGGGCACTTGCGGTATTAGGAGAGCTTCGTTGGCTTTGCAGGCCACAGTGGGTGTTTGGGGCTGCTAGCGTTTTAGAGCGGGCGCGTTTGAAGCACCAATGGGGAATGAAGGCATCCTGGAAGTTGCTTTGACATTTCGTTGTTGGAGGTACGGGTGTGGGTTGACAAAGCCGTGCGTTGGGGTTCTCAACCTACGTGCAACGAAGATGGTCAAGAAGATTACCGGCGGAAACAGTTCGTGTTGTCGTAGTAACAACAAGTGTACTTATGATGCTATTCGGCACTTTGTTCATGAGCACCTCCCTCTTCACGAGCACGCTGAGATCGCTGTAGCCCTCCTGGCAGAAGCTTCGGAAGGAGTTCAATTAAGCTTACTTTCGAGGTGCCTGCGGCTTGAGGAGTGGTATACTTTGGCAAGGACACAAAAAGGAGTTCGAGCGGTTTCCAACCGCACTCCCAAATCTAGCATGCATCCTACGCCCCATTGCAGCAGGAAAGCTGCAACATCAGGCAGGCAAAAATTCGAAAAAGGCAACCCATGCAACGCGGCAAGTCCAGAGCCTTTCCGACTCCACTGCCAGCTGCAGTCGGGCCATTTTGCTTGTGGGTTCCTGCCACCATGGCAGAATAGAAGGACTCGAAGAACACTAAGCCGACATCGCACCCGCCTGAACACGCAGGGTTTGAAAGCCTGCACCTGCGAAAGCCATCTATGGCTTTGACTGGTTTCTTATTAAAAATTTAATCCAAGTTACCAGAATAGGGATCTATAGTAAATAATAAGCCCTATAAACCACATTCTCCTTCAAGGAAGGATGTCTTCACTCATGAAAACTGGGACCTCAGCTTCCTAAGATGAACAAAACCCCAAGCCGACTCCTGTGTAGGTCGTGCGATCGTAGTAGAATCGCTCTGGACCAGCTAATGGCTGGTCAAGGTCCTCGGAGCACAAAGTTAGGCATGATCTGGGTAGTAGAAGCAGCAAACGTTTGCAAAACATTCCGTTTTATGGACATTGCCACTACACATGGTCGGTACCAACGCAAACTGCGTCGGGGAAGGTGAACATGCTCGTTCTCAGCATTTCGCAATCATTGGCGCCTCATGGGAGTTGCTCTAAGCTGTAGGATCTTTATCCTTATGTTATGAAACATGAACTCCGTTGGACAAGTCATGTCACCGGGAATCCTGATGTGGAACTAACCTCGCGTTTGTTCCGAGATGGTGCCCGCTCATCGTTCGGAGTGCTGCTTGGTAAAATGCCCTGTTGGCGCAGTGCGAACATGCTCTGTGACTGCACGGCCATACGATGTAGCACAAGGTCTCAGAGTCTCAGCGATGAGGCACATTCAGATCTTCGGGAGCTGAACCCATAACAGTCCAAATTGCATTGCAGTTTTACTCCTGCCCTTCCATGTCCGGCCTCGGAGAAAGCCCAGCTTTCAGCAGGCGCCGACTTTGATGCATCGCGGCGGAGGACTCGCTCTCTGACCTGCCTCCATGCGCACAGCAAATTCGGAACTCATACCGTCGAAAGTCAGAACACGACGGGGGTGTCCATGCATACTGGTCGCCAGAACCTTGCAATTTTGTTGCTGCGGGCATGCAAAAAACACGCACCGAACAGCCACTGCAAAAATCAGCGGCTGCGTTGGTTGGAGGGAGAATTTGAGCGGCTTAACATGCCGCAGAAAATGTTTTCAATTCGAGGTGCTTTCTTGCTTCTTCGAACTTCCGGACACTGAACAGTAGCTTCCGCATCCGGGAGCTATTCAGCACTAAACAATCTGCGGAACATACCGTTACTTGGTAGTCTGGGAAGGCGTCTTCGCATGATTTGCGGTCGCACACACGGGGACTTTGAGTTCAGTCGCTCCTTTTGGTTTTGAGCCTTAACTTTCCAGCCTCGGCGAAGGATGTCCCGGCTGTCGCGGGGGTGAGCCGCACTTGTGCATGCCTCAGGGCTACGGATTCTGGGCGCATCAAGGGCTTGCGAGAAGTTTTGTCAAGGCTTGAACAGTCAATCAGTGCTGACACCTTCTCTGAAACGGAACAAAGTTCATCGTGGTTCAGGGCTTGCATATTCCGCTTCTGCGCCTTTTGCCCCATGAGTTGCCACATCCAATTCAGCTTGACACCGGTACTTGCAAACCTCTATAGGACTCAGAGGTGACTGTTCATGGTGTGATACTGAATGCCGACTTGTGATGCGCTTTGGGGATCAGTTGTAATCTTCAGCACTTGGCGTTGAGTTTACATATTTATCATTTGATATGGTTTTGGCATATCCCTTTCTACTAGTACGAGGGCTGCAAGCTTGAAAGCCGTCCTTGCTCGTTGGTCATCACGAGTTTTATGACCCTTTCTCGATTGAATTAGCAAGAGTGGAAACCTCTGAGGTCCTGAAACTCCGGAAGCCTAAGTCCGGCTTAGCTCTGAACCCCAAATTTCTGAAGGCCTGTGTAAGTGGTCTTGTCGTAGAAGAACCTCTCGGGCCCTAGGCTCGCAACCTCCTCGGTGCTGCGCTCACTGGGATCTAGTGAATTGGGTTTTCGGTTTAAATCTTTGGGGCATCTATTTCGGCCTTCGGATGGAAGGTTTCGCAAGTTTTGGTTGTTTCGAAAGCTGTCTGAAAAACTTTCAGTGCTTTCCGCAGGTCTGTGGGCAGATCTCAAGCTTCTGCAAGGAAGGATCGCCAAAACACCAACCTGAGCCAGAATCCCTCGAGTACAAGCCAAACCACACTACCAAACCCTATAAGCCCTCTAAACCCTTAAACCTAAACTGTAAACTCTGAAATCCTGAAGTGTCCTCTACTGCGCAGCTGGTGTTGGACTCGTAGTCCGGGCCGTGGGCTACACAAATCATGTCCACAACCTGCCGAAGCTTGGATTCCGGGCGTACACTGTTTGGTTTTGGGTTTAGGGACTTTAGGGATAGGCTTTAGGCCCTTCGCCTGGCGGCCACCAGTTGTTGTGACTTCTAGGGTGTGTTGACAAGCTCAAGGAACGTGTAGTCGTCGCCTAGTGTAGGTAAAAATGCAGTTTGCATGAATATCTGCACATACACACGTACATACATACATATGTACGTACATACGTGCATACATACTGTCACAATACACGCATACAGCATACAGACATATGTATATTCGAATGTATATATATATATATACATACATATGTATACAGATAGGGTTTGGGATCGATCTCCCGTAGAGAGCATTGCCCGAGCCCTGCGTGTTCACACGACTGCCAGCCATACCGCTCAATCCCAAATCGCCGCGCTGCCACCGGCAGGAAAAAGAGGTCAAAGGCCAAAGGCCCGTCCACGCATCTGGCAGGCCGGACGAAAAGGGCTACCTTGCTCCGCAAAGTCCCACCACAGCAAGCCCAGATATCTGGAAGTACACCAGCCTGCAGGTTTTCAGATGGGGCGAAAAGGGCAAGGACAATGGGACGAAGCCTGTAAGCGATCGCAGTCCTCGGGAAGTTGGCAGGACCAGAACAGACGCAGGCCCAAGACAAGGAAACCTGCCGAGGCTTCACAAAGTGTTGAGGATCGTGCCTTCCCATCCCACGAGGCGATGGACTTGGAGGAGCTCACCCGTCTCGGAGAAGGCCTTGGCTCTACGTGGAGGCAAGGGCTCTGCCTCCATGGAATGTCACCGCGATTCGAAAAGCAAAAACAACAATAACACTTCTCAGCAAGTCATATGCATCACCGCGCACGCCTGCAGGGTTTTCAGACGGCACTTGCCAGTGACTTGCGTTGGTCTAGGTGACAGGCCGGGGGTATCGTAAGCACCTGTTGCAGCATGCTCCCCATCGTCGTTTGACGACCACCTAGCAGACTCCGGAAGGCGGTGATGGACAAGCAAGCCGTGGAGGCAATGTGGGAAAATACTGGAAGGAGATGCGAGCCACCTTCGTGAAGGAGCGTGCGCAACACCAGGAGAACATCGAAAACCTCCAGAACGACGTGGACGAGCGGAATGTCGTCAAGCAACCCCGAGATCGCCAACAAGCATGGTCAAGGATCCAGCTCGGGATGGTCTTCCGGGTGCAGAAGCTGGCATGACGCACCGACCCCTACATGGCTTCCCCGTCGACGGCTACTGCAATGCCCAACCGGGTGTCACGCCGAAGCAGCTCGAAAACAAGGAGTGCACTTGGCTCACAGAGGATGCCCTTGAAGCTGGCGACATGGAGGCCAGCGCCCAAAGTCTTAGGAGGCACCACCGGCACCACCCTCGCGGAGAAGCTAGATTACAGACGAGCCAGGAGAACGAAGGAGCTGGCCTGCTCATGCAGATCAGATGGAGCAGGCCTTTCGGAAGACGACCTGGCTCTGCTCGCCAAATCCCCCTCTTTGTCAGACTCATAATCTTTGCCTCCGTGATCAACGGCAGCAATGCCATGCAACGAAGGCAACTGACTTGGAACAATGGGCTGCAGGTCATGACACATGAGTGAGCAGCTTGCTCAGGCTGCACAGCGATTTGTGCTGGAACAGCCAATAGAAAGTGGGGGAAGAGTCCCTACGGCCATCTACGCCTTTGGACCTCCAGATCTTGGGCCAGCACAACCCGCTGCAATCGACCCAGACATCCTCGAGGACAACGGAGAGGAGCGGAATTGGATCGACCGGGAGGAAGCTTTGCCCTTACACGTATCTTGCCGGGTTTTCTCGCCCCTAGTCGAGTCTGAGTCCGTCGATGTCGCCCTCGCCTTCCCTTTGGAGATTGGGCATCTTCTTGAGGTGATTAGGGACTCCACCGCACACATGGCGGCCAATTGGCTCTCGCATGTGATAACCACGACCCTTGAACTACTTGCGAGGAAGGCCCGTCTGAGCCTACTTGTGTCCATGTGCACAGCTGGACCGCCAGAGCTTTGGGTTGTTCTACAAGCGGAGCAATCATGGTTTCAGACCATTCAGGATGACGTGAGGTGGCCGGTGGCAGATGCTGAAGGTTGGCCCCTGTGGCGTGGAGCGGCTTGGCCGGAATGGGAGGCATTCTGATCAGGAACTGCCCATGGAGACTCAATTCGTTGATGACTGGGAAGAAACCAGCAGGCTGCACACATGCAGCTTTGTGCTGCGCTTTTGTGCCTTGGTCTGTCGACGACGGCGGAGCTAGAGTCGGTTATCTTCTCTCGGTGCTCGATAAGTTCCCGCTCTACGAGGACGAGGCAAAGGACCTGCTCGAGCTCCTTGAAGAGAGATGGAGTCGCAACTTGGGACTCTGTCGATCCGGAGCAGAAACCGGAAGCCGTTGATATCACCTGCGAGGCGCTCTCTCGGGACATCGATGAGGCTGCATGGGAAGAGACCTGGTCCCAAAGCAGGCTGCAGCACGTGACCCCATCGGTTGCTCACTACGAACTGCCTTCCAACTGGGAAGCTGAGATGTTGGACAGCTGTCGGGCGATTGATGCTCAAGCCGCGCGAGCATGCATGTGGCCAACACTGCCACAACCTTTACGCGGCGCCTGGAGGCGGCAAGGTCGTTTTGGGGCCAAGCCGCTGCCCCTGAACAGACTTTGCATTCTTAAGTGGGCCGCGTACAATCCACTGAATGCCGGCAAAGCAAGATTTATACAGATAGTTGTATGTGCATATATATATATATACACATATATATATATATATATGTATAGATGGTCAGGCGTCTGGCGTTCNNATGGTATGGTCTGGTAGGGGTGGGGGCGGGGGGGCTGGCGTGTGCGGAGAGGAGAGGGGTCGGGGCGGTTGTGCGGCCAGGCGTGACAGGGAGGGCCGGGTCGGGCCGGGATCTTACGCAAGCCCTAAGCAAGCCATAAACCCTATAAGGTAGGGCGTGTTCCTGTTTCTATTAACCTTAACCTGTACACAATACTTAAAACCTTACACCCGACCTAAACCCCGCCTAAATGCAGGCTCTAAGCTTGATGCAGAACATAAACCGTCGCCCCAACCAACCTACACGCCAAACCCTCCCTAAGCTCTTGTCGATTTGCAGCCTTATAACTTTCAACTTTAGACCCTAAACCCCAAACTCAACAGCTTGAGCTAAACCCTAAACCCCAAAACCCCAACAACCACACCACAAAGGGAAGAGGGACCCCACACCCCACCCACAGGGAGG